TAATTCGGCTGTCTGAGTTGAGTCAAACCAAGTACACCACTGACGACCTCGTTTACTGTTTAGATCATTCTTACCTAACTAACAAGAACCACTAGTTGATATGAGTGATATACTACTATTCATCTTAGTCAACCAGTGGTATATAACTTATTGATTTGATTACGCTTATAAGAATTCTCATTTTATGAGGAAGAAGAAATATGACCATATGAATAAAATTTGAAAGGGATTTGAGAACATAAATTCAAAAAATGAAATTTTAAGCTGTGCCTTTAAATCAAAACACAACAAGATGAAAAAGGGAAAAGTGATTTGCAGTGTATGTTGAGAAAAGGCCCTACAAACTATTTCTGCACACATAACTCTGACTTTACACAATGTTCCTCCGGTTATGGTATAACATGTGACAGACGTAGAGGTACACCTTTCCGAAAGCTGACCTGATTTAACAGATGAGGCTCCAGTTTCCTGTCTCCTCTCTGATCATATTAAATGTGTCTGACATTCAGATCTCTAGTTTCCCTGGGACTTCGTTTGGCTACTTTCACGCATAACAATATCATATGCATTTATCTAGTAGTAATTTTAATATTTCTTCTCCAATATTCTCTAGTCATTTTGATAATTTATTAGTTTACACCAATTTTCAGAATCTACTTCACATATTATTGAAGATTTAATACACACACAAACAAATGTATCTGACATATAGTCTGATTTCTACACAAATGTAATGATACTACTTTGTTGATGAAGTCTCTTTGATTTGTTTCTCAGTATTGAAAACAACACATTAAGTTTGTTACTTTGATCTTTTTGTCCGACAGATGGCGATTATCACTAGTTGTAGAAGAATACAATACTATTGTACTTGGTTAATATAGTTAGTAAAATATACATATGGAGTTATATATGGGCCAGAAGGAAGTCATTTTCTTGAAAACTTTTATGACTATCACTGGTCTACATACATTTGTTTACTGAATGTGTGAATAAGAGATTTCATACATTCCGTCCACCTACTAAATTTAAACAAGACAATAAGAATAACTACCTATAGAATAATATCATAACATTTATTAATTATGACTTTTGTTGCACGTAAGCTAAATAAATAGATAATTTACTTCCCTACAAATGTGTATGTATACTGATAAGCATTTTTGGAAGTTCAGATGATTATGATGGAGAACGACAGACCAAATAATCAACTTTTAGTACATATTATTCCATCAAACGTAGATGTGAATTTAGATGTCTAAAGGAAAGTACATTTACGTATACCAGCTTACATCATTATACTGTAATATAAAAAAGTTGAACGTTCGGATGTAAAAGCAAAAATGATGACCGTAAATTGATACTTAACATTTGTAAACTTGTAATAGTAATAATGATAATAATTTGAAATCTAGTGGAATCGAAAAAGCAAAAATAATGTAAGAACAGGAGATAACTCAGAAATTGTATATTTTGAAGGCGATTAATTCATTAAAAAGACAGCGAGAGGTTGACTACTGTCTCTTTGTAAATACATATGCTGAACCTTAATGTTTTTGCGTTATCGGATTCAATAAACCTGTGTGAACTTAGAGGTTTTTAATCTGTTGACAACTTTGTGGTAAATGCATTAAGGGGTTTTAGAAATCGTTTGCTTCTCTACCGTCACCTGAGTGATTGAGGATGATGTGTGACGGGAACAGTTTATCTTTCAATGCGCTTGAGGTGCAGCATCACTTTATTATCGGTGTTTCAGTCAGATATATTATCATCACGAAACACAAATTTCAGGTGTGATAGGTGGTATTAATAATAATAGTGACCCATGAGATAGTCCAACGAATCACAAATGTAACTTTTATATATGTCTATTATAAAAGGATAGGAAAAGAGATTGGTTGTGGCAGCTCCAGATATCGAATCGTCTGAGAATACTGGTAGCATAATTGGTTTAACACCAGTTATGTATAACTGAAAAGTTCTGCTACCCGTAGAGCAAACTGAAAAGAATTAGAACTACAGTATGAAGTTACTTTTGGTATGATTCTAAATATGTAAGCATTTTTTGAGAAAAAGCATCCTTCGTCCTCCTACCTATTAACGCGTGTTTGTACATGCCTTTTCTTCACAGTATTCTACGATAACGTTTAATTAATGTTGCAAACACATGATGCTGAAAAGAACTGTTGTGGGTTTGTTTCTAAACTTTGTGGCCTGATAATCAATAAGTAGTAATGATATCTGCAAGCCATTTAAGGCAGTCAACAGGCTGCAGATTAATTTTCATTCAGCCTGATTTAGTGTCTGGAGATGTACTTATAGTTAATGCCGCTCTAATCCCGTTTTTTTTGTAATCACAAATAGTTTTCACCATAAACAGTTGCTGGATCTTAACGATATATTATTATATAATAGTTGAAAGCCTAAAGAAATATTAAAACGTCATATCTTCCAAACAACGCCTTAAAATTGACTAATCTCAGGTACACTAATATACCTTGTGATCTGCACCATTGATTTACCCTCGTGAAAATATGAGCATATTGTCACCAAAATTTACGACGTATATTCCAATAACCTTTCTACCTTCAAAGTTAATCGCCGTATTTCTGCAATTATAGGGTTTTCAAATTGTTAGGCAATTGACTTTCCAGTTTCTATCGCTTCCCTATGTAAGTGTACTTCAAAAGCATAAAGATTATCTTAATACCTTGATAGAGTCTCACAGTGTTATACAGTAATATTTACTCAGTAAATAAATAAATAAAATAAATAAAATTTACCCATAATGGAATTACACTCTACCACAGTGCCCAAGTTTTATTCTTATATCAATTATCTTAATACGTCTAACGGTAGCAAATTGCTCATTTAGGAAGTTACTTAAAAGTGTTTCCATCAGTCAGTGGTATATACTGCCACATTTCGCTGAATATTTGAAAAATGACCTCAGAATATTATTCATCTTATGTATCAAGGTTTATACTAGTTCATGTAGGCAGTTCAAATTAAGCGCTTATCTAGGTTCCGTCTGCTAAATGTTGGCTTGTAATGGAATCCAGGATTCCGAATGTTTTCTTAGCAGAGAGTAACAGCGTTTCCATCGCTTCAGTTGCCAGAAAATTATGCAGTAGACAACTTAGTCTTAACAGCTTTATAGATTATATCAGATTGACATCAAAGACATTACTGAGGATTTCTTTGCTAGAGTAAATTCACCCAGTCATAGTGATTATTTCGGTTTAATAAAAATAAACAAGAGTATATTCAGTTACTAATGAATACCAATGGTCTAAATAGATGACTCATACAGTTTTGGGCGCAGATATAAATTATCCGCCTACATGACTGAAAATGAGTTTAAAACATTTAGTACAGTGATAAGCGTGACATCATCGCGGTCTTCAGAAGCATTCAAATATCCTGGCAACCGCCCTTCTTATTCATGGAGGAAAGACGTTAAATGAATGTTACGTGCACCTTGTGTTACATTGAAAAATGTAACTATAAAGTCACACCGAAAAAGATACGAGAAAACGTTTTTAGGTTTACGCTAGTGATGACTTCACCGAGCAGTTAGGCATCTCATTATTTGAACTAGCGAAGCTTAGATGAAATGGTGACTACAATATTTCACCTTTCTACCATTAAAGTGAAAGTTTCGCTATTAAACCGATAGTCTGAATACTAGTGGTTTTATCATCTGTCAAAAGTTATTTGATCTCCAGGTAATAATAACAGATTCAGGAGTGACTGGAAGTTTCTACTACTAATGCTGGTGATAATCAGTGCCTCTTAAAACTAATAATTTGTCAACATTAAGATTTGTTGCACATCGTCCTCCTGATGTGCCTCACACTATTGGAAAACTCTCAAATGATATGAATTAAGCTGCACTGGAAATACGGTTCTAACTAGTCAGGGCAATAATCAATTTCCTTTGGATAATTCTTAAGAATGGTGTTTATCCGAACAAATTACTTTGTTTCATAATAATGAATATCTATGTCATAAACGAACACAAATGTGGTTTTTTTCTTTAACCACCATGTCAAATAGCGCAGAAAATTCATAGGAATCAAATAAAACCTGGAAATATTCACATGTATATCTTCTGTTTGGAAATGCACTGTTGTGCTCTCTGAGTTGAATTGTTGGTTTAATTTCTCAGATTTTGTTTTCTCTAGACAATGTCTTTATCTCTAACACTAACATGAGGTTAAAATTAGTGAGAATTTTAATGGTTTACAAAAAATATTTGCAACAGTATACAGTATTATTGACGGTGACTACAATCTAAAGGAATGAATTATTTGTGTAATGCAACTGAAAAAGGGAGGATCTGCTCAAAACATTTTACTTTCTAAGGTTACATTTTGTATGACCTCTGAAGATGTTGTCTGGAAGGAGAGAGAAAGCTTTAGAATAAAGCAACCCAGCATACAGAAAATAACAACAGCAATAACAAAATCATCCACCTGAGTTACAAACCTCCTCTATAATCTCAAGACACGTTAGTCAATAGTTTAATAAAAATCAATATACGGGCGTGATTTTCTCTCTCGTGAAGCAATGGTCGGTAGCTTAACGAAACAGTGAATCCATTCATAGCTATTTTACTCCAGCATCCTGAATGAAAAATAATTCATTCAATACTGATTTTAATAAAACACTAAAAATAGCTTTATTCATACTTCTGTCTATTGGTACTTAAACTCCAACGTAATGTAGAATAAAGACTCAGTAAAATAGTTACCCATTTTGTTGTTTCTTTTATATTACAGCTTCATTTAATTTGGATTTAACTACCTTGGAAAACAGGCTAAAGTGCATTGTTCAAAAGTAATACAAGGTGGAGTTACATCTCTCAAGTTAATTTCTCGTATACGGAAGTCCAACTGACAGACGTATATTATTTTATAAACTCCTGCCTTGAACAAAAGAAGCTTACAAAGAAATAACAAAATTGTTTACCAAACAGGAGAAGAACTTTCTCACAAATGAGTAAGTTTTAATACCAGTAAATTTCAACCATTTTAACCAGTTAACGGAATAATAGTTATGTGTTGATAGCATGTCCATTTCATACTTTTGCATTGCATTTACAGAGATTTCTTAATAACAGAAAAGTGTTTTTATCACTTACAATACTACCTATTTTGAAACTGCTCATTTTAATGCTGTTCACCAATTCAATAAACTGACTGCTCGGCAACTATTACTGAAATTTCTTGCTAGTAACATGATTCACCTGACAAGAGTACCTGATTTTAAAATAGTCGAATTCGTCACTGAACTTTACAGCTATTTAAATAACTGGGACGTAAATGGCATTTAATACATACCACTGGATGATTTCTAGCATTTGTGAATGTATTAGTGGTCCTATCAAAAGGTTGGTCAAGTAACCACTGATGAAACAGACAATTAATAAGCAATATTCCAACCATATTTACATATTTTGTGTACTTCAAGGTACAAAAAACACCGTATTTAGATAATAAGTCCAAGGCAACCTGAAATTCTTAGCCCAGTTAGGCGAATAAATAACTGGACAAAAGTGCATCAGTTATGATCAAACCCATATGTCTGGTGAGTTATTTGTTCAAAAGGACATAAACAACATATGAGTAGTATCATGTGATAACTTCGCATGTTGAAATCGATATCCACTTTTTTTAAGAAACATGATTTATAAATAAATTACTTATTAAGTGAAACAGCAGAAAATATAACTAGTAAAAGTATATAAGACCTAGTTAACAAGAAGACGCTTCTCATAAAATAGAATCCAAGTTTTCTATTCCACTTGTCGGTCGTGTATAAACACTACTACAGTTTTCTATGACAAGAAGGCTTTCTACTTAGTTTTCTGAAGAACGGATTTTTTTAAAAATAATCCCAGCTACTAGAGTAAGGTGGGATAAATCAATAAGCTGAAACTGTTATATTTAGACTTTTCTTTGTTGTTGGTTTCCAAACATCATTATTCAAGTAGCAAAATAAAAAGTAAAAATCAGGCTAGAACCCATATCGAGTGTATCATTGTGATTTTCAGCTTGCTGACATAAAATTTAACCTTGGCAACTTTAATTCTTCAAGTATATCCCACCTTCCCCATTTTTATTGCACGAATAGCTCATTCGTCTGAACTGTAGCAACTATCAACAGCTGTATGTATTTTTTTCAGTATGTTTTATGTAGCTCTCATAACTCTTAGTAAAAAAATGATCTATTTCTCGTATTTAGAGGATACCAATTTAGGTAGTAATATGTTTTCACTGTGTCATAGTCAAGTAAATATCATTCAGAAGTCATACGAGAATCTAAACTAGCTCATAGCTAGAGGCTATGTAACATCAAGGAAACATTAACACAACTTTTAAAAATTGCGCATTGTGCTTCATCTAATCTTACTGACGACATACGAGTTCGTCATTTACATGAGAAAGAAACATCCAGAATTCGCCAAAATAGGCTAAATCTATCCATTCAAAAGAGGTTCTCATAGTCTCTATCTTTACTGTAGCAGACTGCATAACACCTTCAAACTGTTTCAAAATGGCCCCTTCCTCATTATAACAAAATTGCATATACTACTAGTACCAGTACTACTACAGCAGTAGAGCTTAATTAGACCCTTTCCTACATCCATATTTCAACCTATTATTATCATTACTACTCTTGTGTTATTTAATTAAGATAATTAATTAATTATTTAATGAATTAATTACTATTACCTCTTTACTGAACTCATTTAATCTCCTCATCCTTGATTGATATCGCATAACACTTAACAGTTAACTTGGCTGTATTAAAATTAATCAGGAAGCATTAGAGGCATTGAAATTAGATGAGTGAATGATTAACAATTAGCATTTAGTTAGCAAATAATAATGCGGAAGAGATATTGATATTTTAATAAACAACCCAAATGAATATTACATTTCCTTTTGCAACAACTTTGCGGAAAAGGCAATAAACAGGTGCAGAGAACTGGTTTGCTCATTAGACTAATTAATAAGAATAAAGCAGTAAATCTACTTTGATTATGGAAGAAAAAACTTGACATATAAGTCTTTCTTTTAATGGTATGCATTCATTTATTCAAGAAAAGTCTGTAAATTATGTGCATAATGTTATTTCTCCAACAAACCACGAAAACTGCTGTAAAACACTATTTTTAATTTTTTTTAATATTATGGAGAATATATTCATTCAGACATTTCAAACACAATTTACTACTCACAATCACATCAAGGTACTCACACAACTTTCTCGCTCAGTTTATATAGATGAGTAAATGGTGCCTACTAAAGAAGGGCGACTTACGTTTCACTCTGCAAGAAGTGGCGTGAAATAATGCTCTTGTCCACGGCAAGTAAAATACTAGGGCACGTCCTCCTGGAGAGAATGAAATATGCACTGGATACAGAACTCTGCTACCTATTGGAACAACCTGGATCCAGAAAAGGCGAATCATGTTCTATAAGTATAAAACTTGGGCACTGTGGTAGTGTCACAAGCCAAGTTCAACACTCAAAAACTGAAGGACCAGGACACAAAGGACATCTTCACTGCAAGTATAAAAGACAGAGCCGAGACACAAATCAACACTGACGAAGAGCTCAGCGTCGAAAAGCACTGTAACAACTTGAAGACAGTGTGGAGTCAAACCTGCATGGAATTTCTAGGCAGAAAGAAGGGACAAGACAAACAATGGCTCACTACGGACACTTCGAAACTAATAGAAGAGAGAGGGATGGTAAAACAAAAGATTTTCCCGTTCGCCGATGAGCAACAAAAACAGGATTTGAATGCAAGCTACAAGACACTGAACAAAAAAGTAAAGAAGAGTGCCAGGGAAGACAAAAGAAAGTACTATGAAGCCATGGTAAGTGAAGCAGAACAAGCTGCAGGTAAAGGAAACCTCGTAACACTCTATCAAAATACTAGGTACCTATCGGGAAAACGTTTGACACAAATCAAGCCGGTGAAGGATGACAATGGAAAGTCGCTCACTAAGGAGGTGGAGCGAAGGAAACACAGGGCTGAACACTTCAAAAGACTCCTAAATCGACCACCACCTACAACGCGCCCAACAATACCAACATCGGAGACAGAGCTACCAGTGAACAGCAACCCCCCGACGAAATCAGAAGTCCTGAAGGCAATCAAGATGCTGAAAGCCGGAAAAGCAGCAGGACCAGATGGAATCCCAGCAGAAGCATTGAAAATGGACCCTGAGACATCAGCGGGCTTGATGACGCCACTACTGGAGAAGGTGTGGAAAGAAGGCAAAGTACCCGAGAATTGAAAAAAAGGATACTTATTCAAACTACCAAAGAAAGGAGACTTAAGTCAATGCAAGAACTGGCACGGAATTATGCTCCTGTCCATCCCAAACAAAATACTAAGCCGCATCATCCTGGAGAGAATCAAACAAGCCCTGGATAAAAAACTTCGACCGGAACAGGCTGGATTCAGGAGAAACAATTCATGTATTGATCAGATCGCCACATTACGGATCATCATTGAACAAAGCCTGGAATGGCAGTCACCTCTCTATCTCAACTTCATCGAATTTGAAAAGGCCTTCGACAGCGTCGATAGAGAGGTGATTTGGAAACTACTTCACTACTACGGGGTGCAGCCGACAATTATACATCTCATCCAACAGCTGTACGACAATGCTGTATGCCAAGTAATGCACAACGGGAAACTCACGGAACCCTTCGAAAAGAGGACAGGAGTAAGACAAGGCTAGATGCATACTATCATCAATGATTTTCTTGATTGCAGTAGACTGGATAATGCGACAAACAACGGGCAATGAGGAAACAGGCATAAAATGGACCCACACGAAAAACTTGGAGGATCTTGACTTCGCCGATGATATATGTCTGATTTCCCACAAACTGAAGGATGTAAAAGTGAAAAGTAACAAGTTGGCAGAAGAAGCATCAAAGATAGGACTTCAGGTGAAAGTAGATAAAACAGAGGTGATGAAAATTCCTGGCCAACACCACCACCAACAACAACGACAACTGACAACAATCAACATAAATGGGAGAAACCTGAAAGAAACTACCTCTTTTACCTACCTTGGAAGCATCGTTCCAACTACAGGCGGAACTGATGAGAATATCAAAGCAAGAATCGGAAAAGCAAGACAAGCTTTCACTACTCTCAAGTCTGTGTGGAAGTCAACAACACTCAGCATCAAAAATAAGATCCGGATTTTCAACTCCAATATGAAGTCAGTGTTACTATACGGATCAGAGACTTGGCGCGTCATAAAAAGCATCTCAAACAAACTACAGACCTTCATTAACATCTGTCTTCGCTCAGTACTCAAGGTCAGATGGCCAGAAAAGATCAGCAACAGGGATCTCTGGCAATGAGCGAACCAACCAGGAACCGATTGTGAAACGAATAGGCAGGAAGAAATGGAGATGGACTGGCCATACTCTGAGGAAACATCAAGTGACATCACTAGACAAGCCATTGCTCGAGTGGAACCCGAAAGGGAAGCGGCGAGTTGGTTGTCAGCGTGAGGGTGACTTGGAGGAGGTCATGTGAAGAGGAGATGAAAGCATGTGGGCAGACTTGGAGCCAGGTGAAGACTCTAGCAGAGAACAGAACGCAATGGAGACGCGCGGCTGAAGCCCTATGTTCCTGTAGGAATTAAAGGATACAATAATAATAACTGTGGTAGTGTATAACTCCATTATGGATAAAATTTTATTTTGATTAATCACACTGTTTTATACAGTAATATTAACTGATGACGTCTTGAGCACAAACTATTGCTCATAATCATATCAAGTTACTCACATAACTTTTTCCTTCATTTATATACATGTGTGGAATTGACTAGATATTTGAATAAAAATCAATACAGGATAATGTACATTCAGAAATAATAATACGAGTGTTATTGATCAATTACAATCAGATGGGAAATAAGACGAGATTTTTTATAGTCATAATAAGTAACTTGT